TTAAGCAGACCCTTATCTTGGAATGGATTTTAAGCCTGAAGAGTAGCCAGTAGAAAAAAGACAGGCTGTGGGTATCAGAAGATAAAGTTCCTCTGTCCATGCTACGTAAAAGGTTAAATAAGGCCATCACAGTCCTCTTCAGCAGCCTTAACATCTACAGAATCTCAAGCCCATCACAATAAGCTTGTGCTGGGTGACTCCTTCTGTCAGCCGACCGCTTCCCTGAATGGTCAGACTGGGTATCACACAGCATCTGCCAAGCACACAAACGCATCATAGATCCTGCTGACGATAGCATCTCTCCAACTCTGTTTGACCAGGGGATGAAGTAAGTTTGGCCAGTTGCAGTTTAGCCCTGTTTTTAAAACGTATCTGTCAGAACAAAAGTGAGAAAGACGCATCCTGCCTGCCAAAAATGAGACATTTTGGAGAGTAAAGCACACGGCTCAGGTAGAAACTCAGCTAGCCTTGTAAAATATCACGGTTAATCCAGCTTCATTACAAACGGGTATTTTCTGATAACGAATCGGGTGCAAACCAGTAATTTCATCCAGACGAGGCTGAATTAGGATGGGGCCGCCGCAAAGGCTGCTCCGGTGGAGCAGATCGGGATTTCTTCCTGCTGCATCCACCTCCAGGGCAGAGGCACAGACGTCGTGTTTTTTACACGGGTGTTTCATGGGGTAAAGATCATTCCTTGTGCGCTACAAGGGCACAAGCGGGCCATGACCCTCTTCTTCGGAGCCACCACTCATGCAAGCGGGACTTGCCACGGCTGCCTTGCGTTGCACAGACCCGAGCTCAGCTCTGCCCTCTCCTCTCGGCAAACCGTGTCCCACACACGTGCGTAAACAAGGTAAGAGAATGGGGCAGAAAGCACGATGAACAGATGAGTAATTACATGTATTTTAGATTTTTTCCCCCTAACCAAAACAAACCGCCTCCATCATTAGTGGCAGGCAGGGACGAGGATGTACTTTACATTCTCCACTGAACAACTGCTCTGTTTCAAGAGCATGAGAGATTCAGAAGGGAAAAGAGATACGGTCCTCGTGAAAGAGATACCGTCCTTGAAACAGCGGTTGTAATGATGTGTGCCCGTGAGACAAAACCTACCTTAAAAGACATCCTAACAGCAGTACCCCAGCTAGTAACATGCAGTGACATAACAGTATTTCCATGACAGGACAGAGCCCAACCAAGGATGCCACGTCTGTAACTAACACAAGGCAGAGATTTTCATGTCAATTTGAATAGTCAGAAGCAAGTCCCTGTTTGCAGGATTTCCCCCCAAAAGCAAAAAAATCTGCCAGGTTTCCGGCTGCCTTTAATTAATGCAGCATATCTGCTTTAAAGCCAGTCTCTGCTTAACCTCCACCGTAATAAAAAACCATACTCTTTTTTGGTCAACACTAAAACATTCATGACCACGAGCGCCCATTCTCCATTTCATTTACAGCATAGCTAAATTGAGAGTCACTGGCTAAACAAAAGCCATTAGTAGTCTAGTGCTCAAAGCACAGCTAATCTTTCTCTGTATTATGAAATACAGATAGATCATTCACATACACTTGTTTTAAATGCAATCTCCTTCACCTTCCAAATTTTTATTTTGTTGGCTGGAATTAAAGCCCAGCAGCAGGTACTATTACAAACAACATTTCACGTTCAGCAATCAGGGGCTGGTGCTGCATTCGTTCACCCTCCATCGCTAACACAGCCGGCTAAGTTTGCCGATCCCCGCTGCGGCAGGACTGTATGGCAGATCCACCTCTATGAGGGGTCACAAGTGCAGGGTATACAGCCTGCAACATAAATCACAGAACTGAGAGTTTTTTGCTGATTTTTCCTTCTTATTGATATTTTCCATCTTCTTGGTGGTGGTGGTGGTGTTTTTAAATGGGATGGTGTCAACGCAAAGCACCAACTCTTTATCAGAAGAGGTTCACCCTATGCTTACGACCAGCCTCCATACATTAACGTAGACTACGCTGCAGTAACCATCGGAGGACTTAATGCAAAGGCAGCTCATGTCCATACTGGGGGCAGAATAAGCCTGGCGAGAAGCAGCACATCTGCTCCTACCATCCTCAGCGTATTCTTCAAACAATGGGAAGAAAAGCCTGGAGAAGCACTGACCCTTGCTTCATTCAAAGACTGCCCCTGCTCAATTCATTAAAGTTTGCCTTTCCTTTTCAAGTGAAAAGGCTAGAAGAATACTTGGGAAACCAAAAGATTGCTTGAAAAAAATTCATTCTAACTGCAGGAGGCTTCAAACCATCAAACCCCATAAACTTTGTTTAAAAGATTTACAGCAAACTAGCGTGCTGGGGATTTAATTTTTTCTTTCTGGGTTTTTTTAGGGGGGAAAGTAAATACAGTTTTTTAATCAATTCTTCCACAAAGAGATTTACAATGCTAATGTGCTGAAGCATAAACTGATACAGTGACAAACCCCCTTTCTCCTTAAATGTGCTAATAAGGTTGATCCTTTCTCCAAAGCTTTGTTCTTGGGAGGTTTCTGCAATGAGTTCACGTCTTTCACCGGCACAGAGCCCTGCTCATGTGGAAATCATTGGGCTGAATACATTCACTGCTTCATCTGTCCCTCAGCACCAGGTCTCAACTGGGATTTGAGGTAGTGGGCGAATGACTGGCCAGCAATGGGGAAAAAAAAAAAAAAAAAAGAAGGGAAAAAAGGGAAAAAGAAAAAGAAAGAAAAAAAGAGAGGAGGGTTCCCTTTACAATGCAAAGTAAGGCACAGTTTAAAATGATCTGTCTGGGAGTGGGAGCAGATAGCACAGGGCATGCCAGCCCTTGAGTGCAGCTTCCCGGCACCTTCCTGAGGATGAGCAGCAGCACCCACCCGCAGTGCTAATAGAGCCAGCAAGGAAACCCCATCCCATGCCACGAATCTACCCAGCAAGCAGTAACCCCACACTGTGGGTTTAAGAAGGGAAACACTAAGCTGAAATTACCTACCGGGTGTAAAAGGCCCTAAAGTAGAAGGTTAAGCCAAACATAAGAAATCGCACCCCACTGAGAGACGCACGGGAGTGGTTTGGCTTTTCAAAAGCAGTGAACTGATCAAAGGCGCGCGCGGGTCGAGAAAGACGGTTGATGCGCGGGGTCAATATCCATTTTACCCGTTAACAGAGCGAAGCGGGTGCCTGACTCGGGGAGGAAGGTTCAGTGTCAGGGATCGACACCGAACCTTCAGCCACCAAAGCGCAGCTCATCCCAGTAACCTCCAGTCATGCTGCTCTTGCAGGTAACTGCAAACAAAACCAACAGCCTCCTCCATCCCACGTTGCAAACGGCTGCCGAGAAGCCCTAGTCCGCGTCCATCCTCGAATGCAAAAGGTTAACTGGGTCTTTGGCTCTTCTAATGCCCCACGACCGCCACAGCATCACTTTGAAGACAGATAAAATTTAAAAACAAACAGAATCCCCATGATTCACAGCTGCTCTCCTGTGTCGGGGCTGTGGCCAAGGAAGGATTCCTCCTGCAATATTTTTAGCTGAACACGTGCTACATTCATTTCTTGAAGAAGAGAAACCTCCTCAAGTCTGTGGCAATGAACATATGCGAAAAGACATTTAACTCTTTCCTACCAAACAGTCTGTGAGACAAACGTGAGGATCAGTGTCCCTGCAGACATTTTACAGGAAGATGGGGATTTTCTTTAACACCTCACAAGTTTCGGCTCTTGCAAAACCCTTTTCCCCCACCCCTGAAGCAAGAGGCACCTCCAAACCCCTTTTATTAGCTCACATGCCCACTGGCCAGTTCACACCTATGTCCCAAGGAGGAAAATTTGTATTAAACAGTATTTTCCAGGGACTTCACAACTGGGACCAGTGCCATAGCGTACCGGGTCTCATGCAAACACACCAATCCCTGCTAAAAAATATCATATGCATGAACCTGCAATTGCTCCCAGCCCAAGGAGCCTGAAAACCTTTCCAGTGTTTAAAATTAAGCTGCACATGTGTGCACATGGATGCCCTAATCCCTAACCCGGGGCAGGACCACTCGTCTCACCACCAGCCAGCCTGCGGCTCCCTCTCAGTTGCTGTAGGGTGCAGGATACGGTCCCCGGGAAGGGGCTGCATCCCACTGAAACTCTCTCTCCAGCCACATTCCTCCATCCAGGCTGGAAACTGTTGCCCTATGGCCACCCTGTGCTTGCTGCTGAGTGATGGTTAGAGGAGTATTTATGGCAGAGGACTTTCCATAAAATAAACGACTTAGCAGCACAAACACAGGCTGGACATGCAAGGCAGAGTATAAATAACCTGCTTACCCTTAAAACCTTTTTCCAACTCACCTATGCCAAGTGTTTCTGCAGAATCCCCGTCTTAATTTAGAAACTAAATGTATTTTGACCAGGAGCTGGCACTGAGCGTCACCCGCCTCCGGGCAAGCAAACGGGCCACGCCGGCGCCGCTGACAAGCAAGGAGCCGGTCCCTTCCAGATCATGGTTTCACCTTCCCAGCGGAAATATCTTGCAGAGAAACAGTAAGGAATAAAATCAGAGACGAACGCAGAATCTGCTATTCAGATGTACTTTTTCCTTCCTTTTAAACGGGACCTGAAAGCAGCCTCGGAAGGCAAAGCCCTAACTCGGGGTGCTGGGATTTGCAGCCGTGGCAATGCCGACCCCCCGGCAGCACTCGGGGGGAGCTGACCAAAAGGGATTTGAGGCTTTGCCCCAAAGCCGGCCGCGTGCGTGCCAACCGCCTCTCCAGTCCGTTGCAAGTTCGGACGTAACCAAGGCTCTTAAGGACACAAGTTCAGCTAATCTGAGCTCATCTCACCCAGCACCACCCTACTGAACTGGAGACGCTGACGCCGGTGCCGCGCAAGCCCCACATTCACCCCTCAGCAGGCGCCTTTCATTTTTTAATTGGTCCCTTTCTTCTGTTTGAAGCTCAAAGCAGCAGCCACCTCTGGCCAAAAACGCTTCATTTAAAAAAAACAAAACCAAGCAGTTACCGGGGTGCAGCCAGAGCCCCGCAGCGCGCCACGTACGCCTTCTCCTCCCGTGGCCGTTTGGCTGTGAAACGCGGTCCCTGCTCGAACGAGCTGGGGACGGCTCACCCAGGGCCAGCGTGAGCTGGCACCGGGCTCCACCACTGCTCTTGGCGGAGCCAGCCCGGCTCAGCCTCCTCTCGCGCCGTCCCGGGGCAACGGGGACCAGCCGGGCAGAGCTGGTGGGGGGGCAGCTCATCGCGGCGCGCCTGAATTTTCACCTCTGGTAGCGAAAGGTGGAAGGCCAAAACTCAATTTATGCAAGCTGAAGTTGTGTTTACTTAGGCAATAGGAGATGAAGGGGGCAAGATTATCGCAAGATAATCACTCCCTTGATTAATTATAAAGCAAAGCCAGCTGCTTCCAATTCCTGCACAGTACAGGCTGCTTCCCAAGGAACCAGCCGGCACAGGAAAGTTTCAATTGCTTTCCTCCTCGACTGTTTAATTCTAAACTTAAGAAAATAATCACACTACAAACAGTCCCGCATCCATCCCTCAAAAGCGCTCACCGCTTAAACTGAATGGATCCCTGCTTAAACATTAAAAAAGACCCAACCAGTCATACAAACCCCACTCATTCAAGATTCATCTGCACTCAATTAAAGAACACGGGAGCAGCTGATGAAAACGTTTACAAGCTATTATTAAATCTTACAAGGGGGGGAAGCCAAGAAGAATCCAGATACTGAAATTTTTGCCAGGATTGATTTTTATCACGTGCACCAAATAAAAAAAAAAAGCAGTTGTAGAAGGTTGTTTTGCCTCAACAGGATTGGTAAAGTGCAGCTATCAATAACCGTTGCAATAAATAAAACATTTTGCAGGAAAGAGAATGCCTGCATGATCATAAACTCAATGACAATCATCTTTCCTGGTACAGAGTCTGCTAAGCACTAGGCACGCAGCCTGGTACAAATTATTCAAATAGCAAAGTACTCTGGGACTCGTAGTCCAGAGGGATAAATGGCAACAACAGTTATAAGAGCAATGAAAACGGGGACAACTCGGACGGGTCCAGCAGCGTCCCCGTGTCCCATAATACAGGCACGAGTGGAGCAACCACCAAACCTGCCTCCTTTCGTCCCACTGAGGAAGAGTTGGCAATTCCCCAAAAGTGATCCCAGGAGGAGAAAACCCCCATTTGCCTCATTTTCCAGCACAACCCTCCGGGACCGGTCGTGTCGCCGACGGGCAGCACGTTCCTGGAGCAGCCCAGGGGCTGGCCATGTGTCTGCTGTCTCCCCGGGGTCCTGCTGGGCGCCACTGCTGTCCCTCGGGCCTCGGGGGAGAAATGCTCCCGGATGGGTCAATTTAAGCAGCTTTTTGTGACCGTGAGTTCCTCAGGAGGCTACATGGCACCGGTATGACAGGGAAGCGGTGCCGCTGCTGCGGCAGGGATCAGGTGAGAGCCGTGCAAGCATCCCTGCTCGTGTTTCCCTAGCAACTCCAGCTCCTGCTTCTCCTTGCCCATTCCCTTCCTCTCGCTTCAAAGTAGGCCGAGACTCCATCACTCAGCCACGCAAAACACAGGTTAGGGGAGTCCAGTGAGCCCTATTTCCATTTAACGCAGATTTTGACAGAGGATGCATTCGCACTGAACCCTGCCTCTGCACATGCACTCAAGCTCTCCTGCAAATACAGGAGGGACCCATTTGTAGAAAGGGTGTCTCAGCATCCCACCCAAAGCCTCTCGGCACTCGGTAAAAAAACCAAGCATGAAGACGGAGGACCAAACTTCAACACTTGCTTACAAACTTGGATGTGCCTGGGCAGGTATCACCTAAACCCAACAATCATGCAAGGGGTCCGATAACCACTGGAAAACCAGCTCTAAGGCTCAGACCTGCCAAGATATCGAGATGCTTAAGTATTTTATTTTTTTTATGGCTGTGGTTTACACCTTTCCCATCCTGGAGAACAGAAGCACAGCCAAGGCAGGCACCCCGGTCTCCTGGCCACCATGCCCCTTACTCCCACACACTACCAACACTTCACCAGTTAAACCAGCTCACGTAGCCTTTTTTTTGCCTCTCCCTATCATAAAAATGACACTTGGAGTTCAGACACAAATGTCCAAACTCAATGGGGGGCATTAATCAGCCTCCATCTACTCAGACCTATCCCACAACAGAGGAATGAGTTCAAAAAGCAGCTATTTAAACAGCTCATGTTTAATTGCATTGCTGCCATCCCTGGCTGATGTAGCTATGGCAATAAAAGTTTGAGTTTAGGCACAGCGATATCAGTGAAAAAAATACCATGTGGGTGGATGGTCTCAATTCAAAATACCACTGTTTGCACAATGAGAGTTATTGAGTAAAGTTATGGAATATATTTGGTCCTATAGGAAAGCACTGAGCTGTTTATTTACTTATGTCACAGGTGTACCTGAAAAAAGCTGGAGGTTCATGTTAATTTTTTAGACAGATTCTCAAGGGAAGCTGCAGCTCAGGACTTAAAACCTCCCCTATCCAAAGCAATACATAAACATGTGCTTAAACTGAGACTAATAAAAGATGCTCGAGCTGCTGGGCTTTGTGGAAGGTGCACACTTCAACAAAAAAAGACCAGAAACGGAGCAAGAAATTCTGTGGGGGGAGAGGAGGCAGCCAGCCTTCTCATTAGGAGAAGACATACCAGATTACAGCTAAATCTAAATCCACACCGCAGGAAGACATCTTTGTCCCCACCGAAGTCAAGACCAATTTTTGGCCCCATGGGCTAAAAGAAAAAAAACCTCCTCCAAAAAGCCCGTCTCCCAAACAAATTAATCTCTGGCTATTTTTCCTGCAAAAACACCAGTGTAGAAAGAAAGGATAGAGCTAAATTGTTTTGGTGTTGCTGGCTTTAGAAGAAAACCCACTGCAACTCTGGGGAATTCGGTGCCGCACGCTCACATGCTTTGCCGACTGACAAGCCTTGCGACGTGCTTGACAATACGCACTCGAAACTTGGCTGCTACGGCTAAAAACCACGCGTAGCCAGAGAGAGAATGCACTCCTGCGACAAAGGAGAGGCTGTCAATGAGGTACCTTTGAGTGGAGCTTCTCAGCTTATCTCCTCCACTACACAAAATCCATTACAGCCTGAGATGAAGTCAAAACACTATTAAAAAGCAAACATGGAAAAAGGCAGCGACTGTAGAAGTATCCAGGCTTGCACCAGCACGGCGATGTCCCATCAGCCAGAGGTTTGCTGACCCGTTGGCTGGAGGGCTGACCCATGGGGCAAGCCCTTCTGCAGCTCCATCTGCTGCTGGGGTTTGCATCCCAAAACCTCAAACGGTCCAGATGGGAGAAAACACCTGGCCTAGAAGATGGCAGAAGCACAACTCTTTCAACCCAGCAGCCTCTTCTCGGGATAGATGTAGAAACACACATCGTCTTTGAAAACTTCATCCATCAAGATGGCACCAATGTCAAAATGCTGAGCAGGAGCAGAGCAGGCAGGCATGGAATGCTATCACCTAACCTCTCCTTTAGGAAACATTTTGGGATAAGAAGAGCTCATGGAAGAAAACCTCAAGCTTTGCAGAAAAGATTTAAACAATTCTGTTGGAAAATGGTTAAATCCAGGAAGATTTATTTTCATCTGCATCTGGATATAGCAATGTGGATGATGAACAACTGCATCCTTAAGTGTTAGAAAAGCAGAGCATGATAGAAAGAGCTGCCACTCCTACCCTGCATATACATACGACCCTCCAAAAATAGGCTGCCTAACATCTGGTTAACGTTATTAAAGACCCCGATTCAGAGAACATTCTATGATGTGCTTTAGACCGTATCTTTCATCAAAGGCCTTAAACATGACACTAGGACAATATATCTAAATACATGATGGGTCTAAACAAAGACTGCAAGATGTGCTCTACTTGACCGGGGGCCAAAACTGGGACAGGGGAAGACTTCAATCAAAATTTCATGTTCTTTGAATGAATTGATCATCTTCAACGGAGGAAAAAAAATGAAGAGAGAGAGAAGTTTTGCTCTGGAAACATCAACATGCTCAGCTCTACCCTGCAGGGCCACCACCCAGCTGCCCTGTGGTGAGGGACTTCACTGAGGACACTGGAGATGGCAACTCCAGCTACATCAGGACAGCCAGGCATAAAGTATTTAAATTGAATTAAAACACCAATGTACCATCAATAGCACTGGCAGTGGATATATGTTTATTTTATATTCACAAATTTTATTTATGCGTGCATGTGTATATAGGTGATATTTTAAAAATTCAACAGTATACCTTTCACTGGCTACAAATCTCTTTTTGTCTTCCACAAAAACACAGTATTGCCTGGGTTAACTGGTCGCAAATCTCTGCAAAATTTTTAATGTTTTCTTCCCCAAGAATGAAGTATGGTGCATGTTTGGATCCAGCCCGGTGCCATCACACATGAATCCTTCTCACGCTGGGGAACTCTTTGCATCAGCCTCGTAAGGTTATATAGGAATATAATTAATAAGGTGACATATCCCACATAAATAACTTATGAGAAGCCTGCTGCTTGGAGAAGAGATGGTAGTCAAAAGGTATCCTAATTCACTCTAATAACGGATTAGAGAGAAAACACAAATACCTGAATTAAGTATCCATCTTTGCGCTGTCAAATATCCTCAGCTAAGAGGAATCTGTGCATCTGCCTGGAAAATATTGCTTCTTTTTTCCCCTCTTTCTTCCCCCTCAGCCCCTTTTTGGGGGATGAAGGGTTGCATTTGGGGCATGTACAGTTTCAAGCTAAGCATGAAAATGAGTGAAGACAGAACTTGGGACAAGATGGGCTTTATATTATCAAATGTCCTGGAATGAGTTTTACGTGTCACCCACCCTTGTCTGCCAAAGGTGTCTAAACCACAGCCAAATCTGGATGAGATGCCAACTCCCAGCCAGGCAAAGGAGAAGAATTTATGAGGAACTTCCAGGAGCTGCAGATCAGCTATTGAAAGGCAGAATAATCTATAAATTACTGTTTCAAATAAATGGATTTGCTTTTGAGCACAGTAATCTGACAGTCCAGGTACACAAACACAACTCCCCCTCAGGAAAGAATTTAAATCCTTTAAATATTGCCAGTAGTGCATGTTAAACAATTCTGAAGTTTATACTAGAGCCAGCAAGTTTCCATCAGGGGTGTCCTCAGAGGCATTCTCTTCCCTCTTTCCAGAGCCCCTCTCCTTTTCCATCCATGCCATCA